AAAAGAACACATTGGGAGTTGTGGTTACAAGCAGACTCACCAGCTGCCTACCTAGCTTCAGATTCCAGCCCCGTCACTGACTAGCTGCACAACCTCTGACATGGTCCTCTATGTTTCTCTGTATCTCAGTTTCTGTATCTGTAAAGTGGACATAACAGCATTTACCTCACAGGATTGTTAGTTAGTATAGGTAGGCCGAATATGGTGGACATTGGGAGTTGTGGTTACAAGCAGACTCACCAGCTGCCTACCTAGCTTCAGATTCCAGCCCCGTCACTGACTAGCTGCACAACCTCTGACATGGTCCTCTATGTTTCTCTGTATCTCAGTTTCTGTATCTGTAAAGTGGACATAACAGCATTTACCTCACAGGATTGTTAGTTAGTATAGGTAGGCCGAATATGGTGGCACACGCCTTTAATCCCAGCACTTGGGAGGCAGAGGCAGGTGAATATCTGTGAGTTGAGGACAGCCTGGTCTACATAGTGAGTTCCAGGTCAGCTGAGACTACAGGGAGACCCTGTCTCAAAAAGACAAGAGAAAGAAAGAAAGAGAGAGAGAGAGAGAGAGAGAGAGAGAGAGAGAGAGAGAGAGAGAGAGAGAGAGAGACTTACGATGACTGACACATCTATCTTAATCTCAGTAGACGTGCTAACCGTTAGGGCTCCCTTCCTATAATTTCACAAGTTCATGGCAAAGTGCAGTTCTTCCCCCTTTTTACCCATCCCAAGTGCCCAAGTGCTATAGTCCGCAATCTGTATGGCTTCTAAGAGGTGGGGATTAATTATTCCTCATTCAGAGGCAAGATCAAGGATCGGAGAAGCATTTGCCTGGCTGGCTAGAAGCAGTAGGTTTACATGCGGGGGTGGGGGGAGGTGTCTGACTACACCTGTCATCTCAACACTTCACTTGTTGCCTCCCACGAACTAGTTTCCATGCTTGTAAACTAGTGAGAAGGTTACTTGCTGTGCTTACCTTGCAGGGTTCTCTAGTATAATAACACAGTCGAGTCCTTGCCTGGGGCGTTTCTGGAGTGCTGGGGGTGGGGGCACCAGAATGTGACATACTTTTCACACGTCCACCCACTCTGCGCATGCCCTCTCTCTTCTCTGCTTGTTCAACTCATTTCTTCGACTTCACTCAGGTATGAGAGCCTAGATTTCATTCTAACAATGGAGGGGATTAGTGCAGGGTGTGCCATCTCGGATTTATGCTCTAAACTCTACGAGCTGACTGCTGTGTGGGGAGTGGAGCGTAGGTAGGCACGAGGGGCACTGAAAAACCAGACAGACGCTAGGACAGTAGGAGCTCAAATCAGGCAGGGAGGTGGACCGAGGAATGGTGGACGGGAAAGGGACTTAAGAAACAGAAGTGTATTTTAATGTGGGCTGCGAGAGAGGTGCCAATGAGGACTTCTGGCCAGGTAGTTTCTAGCTGGCTATCAGGTGTGTGATTAATCAAGTGGCCCCAATACAGATCAAGAATAGAAAAACGCGCGCGCGCGCACACACGCCCCAGCCGCCGGTCCACCCCACACTGCTTCCGGGGCCCAGCAAAGGGATGCAGGGCAGGAGGGTAACATGGGCATGGAGTCTTGGAGTCAGAAGCTGTTAGACTGGTCACTTCGAGCACTGATTGGAGCCAGGAGGTGTTGGGAGGGGGGCAGTTTCCGTTTCCAGCGCCCATCCCATCTGGGACCGACGTCTAATATCCCTGTTAGCATGTTAGCATCTCGCGTTGGCTCCTCGCCGGCGTCTAGGGGCGCGGCACCCGCTCATCTCCTCCAGCACTGACCCGCCCGTCCCTCGCCTCCCCGCCCAGTTCGCTGATGGCCTGAGCGGCTGTTCTGTCTGGTTCCTAAACCGGGAACCCACCGCCAAGGGACTCCCGGGTCAGGGGGTCGCTGACCGCCATGCACCTGCCCCGCTAGGCAGCCGCCTACCCTGCCTTCCCCAACCCGCACCTTCGGAGAAGTGCGCGCGGAAGCGTGGAGAGGACAGCCGAGGTGGCTGGAGGCAGGGAGCCGGTGCGTGCGCGTGGTCGCTGCGTGGGCGCTCCGGGAGTCCGGGCGCAGCAAGTGTGCGTGGGCAGGAGCCGGCGCGTGTGCCCGCAGCCGCCGAGCGTTGGGCGGGGGCGCCGCAAGAGCCCTGGCGTGCGTGCGTGGAGTGGCGCGCGAGCGGCGGGGGCAGGATGCGTGCCGGGAACTTTTTGCCCACCCCGCAAGTCCGCGTCGCGGCGCTCCGAGGGCTGCCCACCAGCCGCAGGCCGAGCGCCGAGCGCCCGCCGCCCCTCCCCCACTTCCGCCTCACGCCTCTTCCTGGGAACTTTTTGCCCGCCCCGCAAGTCCGCGTCCCGGCGCTCCGAGGGCTGCCCACCAGCCGCAGGCCGAGCGCCGAGCGCCCGCCGCCCCTCCCCCACTTCCGCCTCCCGCCTCTTCCTAGTTCCCGGCTCCCAGGGCGGTCTGTCCCGCGGGAGAGCCGCAGGCGCAGCCCCACCCCGGCCGGCGCGCCCGGCTCCCACGCCCCCGCCTAGCCGGAGCGCACGGACTGAGTCAGCGGGGCGCGGGCGCTGCAGGTAGGGACTGCGACGGGTGGGCGCAGGTGCCGCGGCCGGCAGCGGGCAGGAGCGCCGGGGGACGTGGGGCGACTCCGCCTGCTCCTCCGACGCTATGTGCCCCTTTTTAGGGAATTCTTTCCGTCTGCCTCCTCGGGTGCGGGTGGGGCCGGAGCAGAGGGCGTTCTCCATTTCCCTGGCTCCTGCCTGGGTGGCTGGCAGCAAGCGTCCTGCCTCCAAACCTTCACTCTTCCCAGCACCTAGGTCGAGTAAACAACTATCTAGCTCCAAGTCTCGGTCTGCGGCCCCGGAGAGCAGCGCTTTTCAACCTCGTAAGACCAATGGCCTCGGGGGCGGGGGGGGCGGCAAAGGAGAGGGGCGCCCGGGAGCCCCAGGTCCGCGCCCGCTCCCCCTCCTCGCAGCTCCGCAGACAGCCCCTGGGGCCCTGGGTATTTTTAGCGTTGTGACCTGGGTGGCAGCACTAAGAGCCTTTCTCAAGAGTCAGCGTCCGCGGCTCCTTGTTCCGAGGCAGGCCGGCGGCCACTCTGGCTCCGGGCACTTCCTTGGCCCTGCCTGGCGCTCTAGTGTTGGGTCCATCGTGAGCTGCCCCAGCGCCTGAGGAGTTGGCCAGGATCTGGGATACACAGTGCAGATGAGGCGATTTATGGAGGATGGCAATTTTGGTCCTGCCACTGGTGATGGGTTCAGAACAGAATGCCAGGAATGGGACTGAGTGAATGCACAAGGCTGGGGCTGGCCCTGAGCTCTGGTGTTCTGGAAAACTCTCAGCCCTGGGAATCAAGAAGCCTGGTCTGAACTGGACCCAGGCACTGCTCTTCCCATTGGTACTTTCTGACGAGCTCGGAGACAATCCAGACAGAGGAGGGGAACAAATAAAGAGCTAGCGTTTAGAGGAAAGGCGGTCAAACGGCTCTGACGAGCTCGGAGACAATCCAGACAGATATCTCGAGGAGGGGAACAAATAAAGAGCTAGCGTTTAGAGGAAAGGCGGTCAAACGGCTCATCTTCACAAATAGTGTCTTGTATTTTGGGCAGGTAGGAAATTTATGACCTTTCAAGTGATTTTCTTAGGGCAGGGGCAAGTGTGGAAGTCAGGTCTTTGAGTTCAGAGAAAGGGTTTGGAGGTGATTGTGGGTGTGTGTATGTATAGATGGAGACTGGTGTGTGTGTATGTGTACAGATGGAGACTGTTGGGGAGGAAAGTTGCTTTAGCCTTGTGCTTTTGAACGGCCAGGAAGAAGCAGAGCTTCAGAACCCTCCACCTTTGAGTCTCCATCCTATCTTCTTCCCTGCCCCCCCCCCTTAGGGGAATTGGGTCCAGAAAAGGAGTGCCCCTCCCAACCTCTCAGAAGGGCATCATGGGGAAAGTTAACCAGCCATTGGTTGTCTTCACTGAACGGAGAGGCTCTTTGCCGTGCCTGGAACCGGCCTCTCCTTTGTGGAGCTAGGGCAGGCTCTGCCCCTACATGAGTCTTGAAATCTATGGGATGAGTTTTGTTTCAGACTGGAAAGCCAGAGCTGTCCCACTGGAACCAAAGGCCTTGCTGGGATGCTGGCTGCAGTGGGGCTTCATAAGCCCAGGACCCCACTGTCTTTCATCCTTACAGTTGTGTTTGTCTTGCTCTTTACCCTCCAGGGGCTAACATGGACCCCAATCCTAGGGCAACCTTGGAGCGCCAGCAACTCCGTCTTCGGGAGCGGCAGAAATTCTTTGAGGACATTCTACAGCCAGAAACAGAGTTTGTTTTCCCCCTATCCCATCTGCATCTCGAGTCACAAAGACGTAAGTTTCTAGTCCTGAGAAATGTGGTTGGGGTAAGGTGGGTTTTGAGTCTTGGGGGCCACCTCTCTTTGTCACCCAGTAAACTTTGAAATTGGGATCTGACTGGTGACTGATCATTCTGTTAGCCTTAGGCTGTCTGCCTGACCTCCCACCTTCTCTTGATCCACAGCCCCCATAGGTAGTATCTCATCCATGGAAGTAAATGTGGACACGCTGGAGCAGGTGGAGCTTATTGATCTTGGGGATCAGGATGGAGCAGATGTCTTCTTGCCTTGTGAAGATTCTCCACCAACTCCCCAGATATCTGGTATGCTCTTCTGCTTTGGGTACCTGGGTACCATTTGGCCAGAGCTGGATGTTGGGACTCTGAAATGATGTTGCAAATCTGAGCTGGGGAAGAGCATGAGTAGGTGCTAGAAATATGTGTTTCCACTAGAGAAACTGCAGCTGTTCTGATTTTAGAGATGTTAACCCTGAGGGGAAACTGGGTTATAGAACCTCCAGCCAGAATTCTAGAAATGGCCAGCTACTTAAAATTTGAAATTTTTTTATTTGTGAAATTAACATAATGTAATTAAAACAATGTAAAATATAATTATTACATTAGACAATTTTAGCTATAATATGAACATTCACTAGGTTCTTAATACTGTGCTAAAAAGTATTTTACATATTTTTATCTCAATCCTTATAATGGTGTAGCAGGGCAGGGAATATAATCTTCACTTTATAATGAAGGAAATTAGAAGGGCTGGGAGATGTAGTTCAGTAGCACAGTATATGTGCCTAGGGTGTACAAGATCTCTGAGTTTGATTTCAGCACTGAAGAAAGAATTAGGCTTGGTGTGTTTGGTCACGTAGCCAGAAAGTAGAAAAGCTGGTATTCAAACCATACCTGTCTGGCTCCAAAGCCTAGATGCTTAACTTATAAGACAGATATACTCTTATTTAAAACTGCTAATGAGGCTGGCATGGTAGCTCATACCTTTAGTCCCAGCCCTCAGGAAGCACAGGCAGGAGGATCACAAGTTTGAGACCAGGTTCAGAGCAATACCGTGTCCTTAAAAAAAAAAAAACCAAACCAAAAAACGGAAATGCTATTTTTTTTTCTTTTTTGAGGAAGGGTCTCCCTTGTAACCCCAGCTGACCTGAAACTTGCTGTGTAGACCAGACTGCCCTCGATCTCACAGAGGTCTGCCTGTCTCTGCCTTGTGAGTGCTAGGACTAAAGGCATGCACCACCATGCCTATCTGGTATTATTTCTTGCTGGCAACTCGGGCACTAGATAAGCAGTCTTAAGATTTTACCTTAAAAGCTGGGCATGGTGGCACATACCTTTAATTCCAGCACTTAGGAGGCAGAGGCTAGTAGATCTCTGTGAGATCAAGGTCATCCTGATCTACATAGTGAGTTCCAGGCCAGCTGGGGCTGCAGGGAGACCCTGCTTCAAAAAAATAAAAATAAAAACTCTCTAGAGAATGTAAGTCTCCCTATTTAAACAGAAAAACAGAATCCTTGATAGGGGAAATGACTTGCCCAAAGCCATTCAGGAAGAAGTGAGGTAGAGCCTCAACTCTGGGGTTGATTGGCCTGACTCCAGATTATAACATCATGTAGTGATGTGAAAGGAGCTGGGAGCCAGGAGAGAGAGGTCCTAATCCTGGCTTATCACTGGACCAAGGGAGTAATTCTGGACAAGTGCCCACCCTTCTTTACTTCCGTTTCTCTGGTCAGATAATGTCTTAAGAGTCCTCTAAAACCCTGTGTGTGGCCCTGACCAGCTCTTCTCTCTGGGCAGGAGTGGACGACCATCCAGAGGAGCTGAGCCTGCCAGTGCCCACGCCAGACAGGACTACATCCCGGACCTCCTCCTTGTCCTCTGACTCCTCCAACCTGCACAGCCCAAATCCTAGTGATGGTGGAGCAAACACACCCTTGGCACAGTCTGATGAGGAGGAGGATGGGGATGATGGAGGGCCAGAGCCTGGAATCTGCAGCTAGCAGCAGGCTCTTACAGACTGACCAATCTGGCTGTTCTCCATGGAGACCCTAGGCCCAGCCAGAGTACTCTGGAAAAGACCTGACATTTACTTGCAGTCAGCACCAAAGGGAAGAAGGATGGTGGGATGGTGTACCTCTGAGCACTAACCCTCCCTGCTTTACTGCTAACTGTGCCCTGCTGCAACCCTTCCACCAGTGTTTGGTTTACTTCTGAGGTAGGACTTGCAAGTGAGGAGCTGGAAAACGAGGTAGGATGAAATGCCACTGCTTTCCTCCCACCCCCACATTACCCTGTAGTCTTCCAGTATAGTCTTCTAAGCCAGTGTCTCACAGGATGAGAACTCCTCAGTGCTCCAGATGACGTGGTACCCTGCTCATCATGTCTTCGCACATACTTTTTGGAACAGAACATGGTATAAGTAATAAATAATAATACACCAGTCATTTCACCTCATTCCTCACATTGCAAAGGTACCAAACCCACTGTCCTTAACTCTAACCAGCATTATACCACTGTCACTCATTTATTCCATTTAGTCAAAAGCTACTTAAGAATTTAATATCTCAGGGCTGGAGAGACGTGGGTTCAGTTCCCAGCACCCACATGGTGACCAACAACCAGCTGTAACTCCAATATCAGGGAATCCGACATCTTCTGATCTCCTTGGGCAGTGTACAGCATGGGTGCACTTACATGCAGGCAACACACTCGTACACATAAAAATAATAAAATTAATTTTTAAAAAGTTTAATATCTCTGCAAAGCATTTGGAATATAGTTTTAAGAGGTAGTGCTGTTATCATGGAGTTCACTGTCTGTGGAGCAGAAAAATCAGGTCAGTATAAATTACAGTGTAATAAGTAGCATAATCAGGTACTGCTGTGGTACCAGGAAACAAGCTTGTATGGTAATTAAAAAGAGCTGATTTTTAAAAATGCTTTATTTTTATGTGTATGATAGTATTGCCTACATGTGTGTAGGTGCACCCACGTCATGCAGTGCCTGCAGAGGTCTGAAGAGGGCGTTGGATCCCCTGGAACTAGAGATAGGGATGGTTGTTAGCTACCATGCAGGAGCTGGGAACCGAACTTAGGTCCTCTGCAAGAGCAGCCAGTGCTCTTAACTGCTGAGCCATCTCCAGCCCCAAGAGCTGATTTTTTAAAGTGGAGATCTGAAGGACAGATAGGAGCAGCCAGGCTGGGGAGGGGAAGAGGATTGTATCCAGGCAAAAGTTGCAGCTTGTAGTCTACAAAGCTGGACATTGTGGCTCATATCTGTGATCCCAGGACTTGGGAATTAGAGGTAGGAGGGTCTGGAGTTCAGTGACAGCCTTTGCTGCATAGCAAATTTGAGGCCAGCCTGGGCTTCATGAGACCCTGTCTCAAAAATTTATTTTCTTTTAATTAATGAAAAAAAAAGACTAAATGGAGAGAATGTATGTTTTGAGGAGTTATTTGGATAAACTATTGGATTTGAAGATACAGAGAGGTAAGATTGACAAAGGTCAGATTGTGAAATGCTTTGAGCCTACCTAGATTAGGTTTCAATTTGACTCCTAGTAAAAGATCATGACTTAAGGTACAAATTTATCTCCTCGTGTCAAAGAAGTCCAAAATACCGAGCTATGTGAGAGCTCTAGTAATGGAGCACCAGCTCCTTTTGGTTCTTTTTCTTCAGTCGTCCATGGCTCATGACTTGGATTCTGTCAAAGCCCCAGCCAGCAAGGCTTTGGAAATGGCAGAAAGCAAGAGAAGAAATGGGAATGTGCACAGGGCACAGCCTGGGCACTCTTCCTTCTTAAGAAGCATTTTTGGAAGCTCTAAGAGATAGTATTCCCTTTTATCTCGTTGCCCAGAACTTCATAACAGAAAATGTCTCATTTGTAGACATATTACAGACACTGGGACAGCATTTTCTAGAGGAGAATTCTAGCTTTTTTTCCAATCACTGAATTTCCAGTGCATCCGATTCCTGTACTACAGGGTATCTGAGAAGCTCCCCACCATCTGCGGCTCTTTGATAGGGCACTCGGCTGTCTTGATAAACAGGGTTTGTTACTGAAGAACAAGAGTAGTCACTGGGTGGGTAATCAGCAGTTTGCATGTTAAGAGCCATATTAAAGATTTTGAACTTTATTTGGAGTAATGAAGGATTACAAGTGGCTGGACTTGTTTAAAAGGTAAATTGGCTGTAATTTAGAGTATACTGGGGAAAGCAGGCCCAAGACAAACAATTTATGAAAGATAATGGTGGCCCAGTAGGACAGTGGAGACTGGCTTACCTAGGTTGAAGAGAATATAAATAAATGTGACATTACTCATTCGATAAATATTATGTGTTGGTATATAATGTGCAAAACACAGATACGCTAGTGGCAAAAATGAAAGAAAGAAGGAATGAAGAGAAAAAGTCACTGCTGTCACAGAGTTCATAGTCTTGTGGAGAGCCCAGACATAAATTTGCAGTCCTGACTAGTGCTACAAAGCAGCTGGCCTATCCAAGGAGCTCACCACAGCTGAGGTGCGAATGAGCAGGAGACCCCTGTGGCATACTGATTGGATGGGACCAGATGACTGGAGTGAACCAAAGAGACACCTTGTCTGCAGGCTAGTGGAAGGTCTAGAAGAGTTAAGAGGCCAGTTCTGAAATATTTTCCATGGATGAGTCAGAAAGGAAGGGGTCAAAAGAGCTGGTGCTATTTACAATGATTTGCACGATTTCTCACCCAGATAGGGAGTTTACGAGGCAACCAGGTTTGAGCTGAAATAATTGGTTTTAGAAGCTGAGTTTGAGTGCTTTTCAGAGACAAGACAACAAACATAGTAAGTAGGCACCTGGGTTCATGAGTGTGAAATTTGGGTAAGAGGCTTAGACTGAAAAAATAAACATGAGCTCATCGGCACATGGGTGTAAGCGAAGCCATGTAAGTGAACTTGCCCAGGGTGCTGTTTGAAGGGAGAAATGATAGAACCCGCCTTAAGAATCATCCATTCACTTCTCACGTTAAAGCCATTCCATTTCCTCTTCATATATCAAAAAACAAAACCTGCAGAATCAGTGACCTTCAGCCTAAATCCCAATAGTCTTCAGGCCACCCAGGCAGAGTGATAGTTTGCCTGGTCTCATCCTTTAAGGAACCACTGTGACCGCTCCTAAAGAGTGAGAAACTTGTGGGATATCTAGGGAAGACAGTGTCCTTCAGCCCCTCACCCCCAACCTGGGTCTCTGTTGAAGCTTATAGAGTGAATAACTTTTGTCCAGAAGCCTTTGGGTCCAAGCTGGGATCATCAGTTAAAGTGGGTTCAGGAGCCCAGTCAGCCTCTAGAATTTTTCTGGGTTGCTCATGATTTTGCTGTATGCAGATGGCATGACCTCATAACCTCAGTCCTTTTGTGCCGGATCCCCCTCCATCCCCCTGAGCCTAGGAAGGCTCCACCTCCTATCTCAGTGGGCTCATCCTTCCTTTAGGCTGTGGCCTATGCTTCCCATTCATAGTTCTAATGCAGGGCTTCCCACCCCTCTTCCCTTGGGGTAAGTGTTGGGAAGCTGTACTTGCTTGGTTACCATGGGCATACCAATAAATTTTTTAGTACTCTAGACACAATGCTGAGATTGTGTGGTTTGGGATAGGCAACCATTCTGTGCAGAGGGATCTACAGCCCTCTTGAGAAATAGAATTGTCTGAGTCTCTGGGAAACCTTCAGCTAGTATGAGCTCCAGTTCTGTCTGGAAAAGACTAGAGTCAGCTGAGACCACATGACCACTTCCTGGTTGAGACAATGACCTCTTTTCCTGCCAAACCACAGGGGGCTGGCCAGCCTTCAGAGCAGGGCTTCATCTCTAACTGTTTCCTCTGGTCACACAGTATCCTTGGAGATGAGATGATTTGGAGCCAACTCCAAATTAAGGAGCTTAGCTTTCAATCTTGCAAGTCACAGTGTGGCCTCTTTGTATTGCACAGACCTACTGGGTAGATATCCTGACAGACTCTGAAGTGGAAGAAGATTGAATTCATCTTTCTAGAACCTTGTGCTATGAAGGAAATACAAGAGAATTAGAAGATCCCTAAAAAGCTTACCCTGTAACAATCCCCAAGAGTGCACAGAACTGGACTTGCAAACAGCATGGCAGTGTGAGGGTAACGTGGAACTGTGCTGTGATGTCTTGTTCATTTATTACATGATTGAGCACTTCTACAATGCACTAGCCATTTGCATAGGCAATAGAAAGATTAAGCCTACCAAGAGCTCTTCCAGGAACACATGCTGCAAATCACAGAATTATATAATGAAGGCTGGACGGAAAGTGCAGGTGACTGTAGCCACCAAAGAAGCAGGAGGAAAGCAAGTTTTACTGCAGGGGCTGGGCTTTGAACGACAGGAACAATTTCAAAAGGAAATAAAGTATAAAAGTTGCCTTCAAAAATTATTTTGAGGCTGTTAGTGTAGACTTTGCTGCTGACTCCATTATCACTCACTATGATCTTAAGAATTATCTGAACTTAAGTTTCACTTCTTACCCATAAAATGAAGATGACTGTACTTATCTAATTGGGTTTGAATAGATGTGATTATTAATCTCCAACAGGTACATAGTTCATCATCCTAACAATGACCCTGAAAGCAGGTTTTTACAGATGAGGACATGTGACACTCAGGTTGTTTGTACTCATACAGATTAAAGGCAGGTATGGGAATCTGAACCCACACCTAACTGACATCTAATCGCCCACTTTTCCTGCAATTTCCTGTCCAATGGGGGCAGGAACAGTAGACATAAAAAGAATGAAAGCATGAAAGTCTTTTTGACACTACCTTTCTTGAGGGAGTCTACTTTGGTAGATCTTCCTAATACCAAGTTTGGCTTTTCCTAGAAATAAAGTTGCGAGATTTATGAAGAGACTTTACAGAATCCTTCATGAGTGTTTCCTGTAGGGCAAGTGGAAAAACCAAATCGGGAGTTTAAAAACTGGAACTCCTACAGCTCATTAATGAAGAAGCAGACAAGCTAGTAAGGAACACAAAAGATTTTTAAAAATACCTTTCCTAAGAGAAGATAAATGGATGATAAGAAAACATGAACAGGTGCTCAACACCATTGCTAAGGAAAATGCAAATCAAGCCTACAATGAGATACCATTATATACACACCCAGATAGCAGAAACAAGTCCAAAACCCAAACCACCAAATGTCAACCAGGATGTGGAGCAACTAAAGCGCTCACATATTTTTATTTTTAATATTTTATTTTTATGTGTATGCGTGTATTGCCTCAGTGTAGGTGGAAGTGACACGTGTCGTGCAAAGCCCGGGCAGGACAGAAGAGGCTGTTGGATCCCCTGGAACTGGAGTTATGGACAGTTGTTAGCTGCCATGTGGGTGATGGTATTCAAACCTGGGTCTTCAAGAACAGCTAGTATTCTTAACCGCTGAGCCACAGATATTTTTTTTAATAGAAAAATAAAATGATAGATTTTAGAGAAAGGTCTGACAGTTTGTTAGAAAACAGATATACACTTTATCTTTGACCCATCAATCCTACACCTAAATATTTGCCCAAGAGCTATGAGAAACAGATGTTTACAAAGCAACTTGCACAGACAACAGTTTTGTTCATTATAATCCAAAACTGCAAAGAACCCAGATACTCATCAGTATATAAATGGTTAAAGTATAGCTTATCCAAACAATTGTCGGTACAGCAATTTTTAAAAATTGATGTATGCAAGACAGTTCCGTGCCCTTGTAGGTAGAGGATGATTTAGAGCCAACTCCCAAGGAACTATTGAGTCTCCAAGCCACAATGTAGCTTGAAAAACATTTCTTCCAGGAAAGAACAAACAAGTGGTTTTTCCACTTGCCCTGTTGTGATGGTGGGGATCAGAACTTTGGTTCCCTCTGAAATTGTGGCATGGGGGGAAGACCTTAACTGGGAAGGGCATTAGGTCACTTTGGGGGATTTTAGTTGCTTTATGTATTTATTTTTCCACCCCCCTGCAGTGCTGAGAACATACCAAGGGTCTCATGCATGTTGGAAGCCGAGTTATATCCTGTCTCTGGTTTAGGAATATTCTGCATCTGGGTAAGATTTAGTTACATTCCTGTATTGGCCAAAACTCGGTGGATTTCACATCAGAAGAGAAATTGAACTCTAGTAATTTGCATGTTTATAAAAAAATATACTAGTGCGTGAAATTTGAGATGCATGGACACTTGGGTGCTTTTAGGGATTTATAGGTGGGTGTGTGATAAAGTAATAAAATGGGCTGAAGAGATGCCTCTGTGGTTAAGAGTACTGGATGCTCTTATAGAGGACCAGGATTGGATTCCGAGCATCCACATGGTGGCTAACAACCGTCCTAACTCGTTATCCTGCGCAGCCTTCTGACTGCAGGCATCCTCGACACGGGTGCACTTACTTACATGCAAACAAAAGACATTAAAAAAGAAAATGTTTTTAAGTACTAGTAAAATGTTAACACCAGAAGGAATCTAAGTGATTAGAGGACCGCGTTCATCTTAACAGTTGCTCATTCTTTCAGTTTTGTCAAACGTTTGAAAGTTTTGAGAGCAGATCCATTTGAGGGTCTCTTAGCAAAGGTCTGCCCCTAGGAGCTGGTGAGGTTGGGAGCCAGGCAGAGACGCTCTGGCCTGTAATCCCAGCCCACTAGGCCGAGGCAGGAGGATCCCGACGTGAGCCCAGCTGTGTGACCTCACAAACCATGAAATGGCAGTACCGCCACCCTCGCACGTGTGGGTTCTCAAGTCGCCCGCTCCCCCGCCCCACGCCCACGCCCCTCCGCGTCCTGCGAGCAGCCTTAAGGACCCCTGCGGGCTGGTGGCACAGTCCCCTAGGTAACCGCACTCTGCTTTCCGGGAGGGCGCCGGAAGTCCCGCCTCACAATCTCTTCCTATTGGATGCCGACTTCTGGTGGGCGCAAGATGCCCATGGGAGCCGGAAGCGGCAGCAGGCATGGCGGTGGCCATGCCGCTCGCTGCGCTCTTGCTGTTTCTCGTGGCTCCCTGGTGCTGGGGCCGTGCCGAGCGCCCGCGGGACAGCCTGCGAGAGGAACTGGTTATCACTCCGCTGCCTTCCGGCGACGTGGCCGCCACGTTCCAGTTCCGCACGCGCTGGGATTCGGAGTTGCAGCGGGAAGGTGAGGGTGAGATCAGACTGGAGAAGGATTTGCTATGGCACCTTGCTGAGATGGTGGAGGGAGCACTCCCTGGGGGCGTGGCCTGATCCCTGGGTGGGGTTCTAGCCTCCGCGGGTCCCCTCTCACCTGTCTGCGTTTCTCTAGTGTCTCATTACAGGCTCTTCCCCAAAGCCCTGGGGCAGTTGATCTCCAAGTACTCTCTGCAGGAGCTGCACCTGTCATTCACTCAAGGCTTTTGGAGGACCCGGTACTGGGGGCCACCTTTCCTGCAGGCTCCATCAGGTGCAGAGCTCTGGGTCTGGTTCCAAGACACCGTCACTGAGTGAGTTCCACCTTGGGACTTATAATAAGCCATGGAGGGAGAGTGACAGGGGAAGGCCGTGTTACCTTGCCATTGCTCCTGGGAGCAGGAGGTCCAGCAGGCAGCAGTCTCACCAGGCCAGACCTGGCTTTGGAAGTCAGACATGATATTATGTGGCCCGAAAAATGGTTCAGCCAGCATGGCTCTAGTGGTGCAGGCCTGTATTCCCAGAGCCAGACAGGTGGAAACAGGAAAATTTTTGGGATTTGTTGGCCAGCCAGTTCTAGCTGAATCAGTGTGCTCCAGGTTCAGTGAGAGACTCCCCAAAAGAAAGGTGGGCAGTGATTGAGGAAGACACCGATGTCGATCTCTGGCCTCCACAGGCATGTGCACACATGCACACGTGTGTACACTACCACACACATATATACACACACAACACAAATTATTTGTCAGAGTATTCTTTACTTTGCTGGCTTAACTTCCCCTAATACTTTCAGGCCGGAGGTTGTACATGCATTTCTCTTAAAAGGCAATAGCAGGTAATTGATGCTTATTTGGATTTAAGGCCACAGATAACTGGCAAATTGGGTAACTTTTAAATGACATTTCTTTATATTAAAAAACAATGATAGGACTGGAGAGATGGCTCAGTGGTTAAAAGTACATACTATTCTTCCAGAGAACCTGAGCTCAGTTCCCAGAAAGCACGCCAGGCAGCTCACAACCACCTGTAACTCCAGCTCTAGGGGATCTGATGTCTCTGGCTTCTGTGGGCACTTCGTGCACATGCACATACCCACACACAGATGCACACATATACACTTAATTAAAAATAAAAAATAATTTTTAAAAAACCACAGAAAAAGAACAATAAATATTATCCATGCTAAACAAAACCTATTTATGGGCTAGCATTGGCCTCCAGGAGACTAGGTTTCTATATTGGAGGAATTCCTTTTTAGAGAAGAGCATGCCTGACCTACAACTACAGAAAACTTCCCAGTGGCTGCTGTGGCCATCCTGGAGCAGAACTTTTCCAGGTGGAAGTTGTAAACCTGTGTCTGCATAGGCTGAATAGGTGACACCAGTGAATAAAAGAGCAAAAGCATTGACAGAGTCAGACGTGTGTCTCACTGTCCTCTTAATCACACTGTCAGAAGTCAGTACTGCAGTTATTAGAAGTTTTAGGGCCATGATAGGGAATGGTAGGGTCTGTGGCAGTCTGAAGAGCCCAGTCACCACTCGGCTCTCATCTCTCAGAGCAGTGGATTACTACCATGTGACAGCAAAGACCTAATGTGCTCAGACTGTCATTTCAAGAAGTAGATCAGAATTTAACTTGAAAATTGACATTTAAATAACAATTCATTTAAAAAATTTCTAGGGCCTAGAGAGATGGCTCAGTGGTTAAGAGCACTGATTGCTCTTGCAGAGGACCCGAGTTTGATTCCTAGCACCCACACGGCAGCTAACAATGTCTGTAACTCCAGTTCCAGGGGATCTGACAGCTTCTGACCTCCACGGGCATTGTATGGCGCAGGTACATTTACGAACATGCAGGCGATTACACTCATACACATAAAAAATAGTATTTTTTTTTAATTTCTTAAGGTTTTTAATTGTGTATGTATGTGTGTGTCTGTGTGTGGGTATGTACACATGAGTGCGGGTGCCTGTGGGGGCCAGAAGCACCTGATCCCCTCGAGCTAGAGTTACAGGCAGTTGTATACCACCTGGCATGGGTGCTAGGAATCAAACTCTGGTCCTCTGCTAGAGCAGCATGTGCTCTTAGCTACTGAGCCATCTCTCTCCGCCCCTAAAAAATTGTTTTAAACATTATATGCATCTGTGTTGTGCGTGCCAAATGAAATGTGGTTTTGAGGACATGGTGCTGCTGCTACCTTAGCCATCACCCAGAAGGGGCCTGAGGGAGAGGCTTGGCTGCCCAGAAACACAACAGTATAGAAGAGGCTATACTTGAGGAAGGCAAGAAGGCCTTTCTGGAAGAGGAGGCCAGAACTGGAGCTAAACTTTGAAGGTAGCAGAGAGGCATGAAGGAGGAGTTCCCAGGCAAGAAGAGCCACTTGAACAAAGACCTGTAGGGCTGCTGAGATGCCCAGAGAAAGGGCTGAGGAGATAAGATGAAGAAAGGGACATCACTGCGCAGGGTCAGTGATGTGCTGACTTCCTGCATCTGGCCTGTGTAATGGTTAAGAATATATCCTCCTTTCTCTGAGGGTTTGGCAGTTAGCTGTGGAATTTGTGAGATGGAGCAGAGTAGCCACAGGATTGTAAATGGGTTTGTGTTTCTATCCAGTGTTGATAAATCTTGGAAGGAGCTCAGCAATGTCCTGTCAGGGATCTTCTGCGCCTCTCTCAACTTCATCGACTCCACCAACACCGTCACTCCTACGGCCTCCTTCAAACCTCTGGGACTGGCCAATGGTGAGACCACCCTTTCCTTTTCCCCTTCCCTTCCCCTTTCCCAAACCTTTGCCTCCTTCCCCTTGCATTTCTCTTCCACAGCCTGGGCTAGATCCTAAATCCTGTGGGTATGCAGATCCTGGGTGGATTCCTGCGACTGCTATCTCTGCATTGTCTTGTCCCCAGTGGGGAGGATGTCCATCCTACCCCCTGCTGGGACCACCTGGCAGTAGTGGTATAAGGACTGGGTGAGGTCACCCACAACTCTGGAGCGTGACTCCCGAGAGACATGGCCCAGGTTCCTCCTCGATAGGCCTCTGTCTCCCTCAGACACTGATCACTACTTCCTGCGCTATGCTGTGCTGCCTCGGGAGGTGGTGTGCACCGAGAACCTCACACCATGGAAGAAGCTCCTGCCCTGTAGTTCCAAAGTGAGTGTAGGTGGGATTCACAGAGGGGGAAAGGAGTTTTCGGATGCCCCTTCACAGCCTGAGTGTATTTAAAAGAATCTGCCCCACGCCAGGTGCTCCATGCAGGGTGCTGACCCTTTATCTCTTCCTGCCTCGTCCAGGCAGGTCTCTCCGTGCTACTGAAAGCAGATCGCTTGTTCCACACCACCTACCACTCCCAAGCAGTGCACATCCGTCCGATCTGCAGGGTAAGTCATGGACAGGGGAATAGGTGTCATCCAGAGGCTCCAAGAGCAGGTGCAGGTTGTCTGGTTCTGCCTGAGTGCATTGAGTGGCAAGAGTGATACTGACTGTGTAGGGTGTTGGCGGTGCACCAATGAAACCAAGGTTTGCCTGTGGAACACTCAGTAAATCTTTACCATGGAGCACAGTGGCTAGAACAGTAACGGTGTGCGTGCCACTGCTGGCCCAGTCACCTGCCAGCTATATGACCTTGAGGAAGTCATTTCATTTCCCTGAACCTCATTCACTCATCTGTCACATGCGAATAATAATAGAATAGGCTCTGCTGGTTCTTGTAAGGATTCATCCCATGATGCACATAAAGCCGTCGTTGACACACGATCCAACTCAGGGTTAAGTGCTCAGCAGTGAAGTAGAGCTGAAGATACAAAGCAGAGGGATTGGGTCCAAGTCAGAGTCCTTTGCGGCTGCACAGTTGGGTGAGAGTAAGGCCTCTTATTGCTGCTGTCTGGCCCTTGTGACAGAATGTACACTGTACCAGCATCTCCTGGGAGCTGAGGCAGACCCTTTCAGTTGTCTTTGACTCCTTCATCACAGGACAAGGGAAGAAAGGTAAGCTGCCTGGGCACCTCATCCTTATCTACTTGTCACAATCCTGGCCTGTGTGAACCAGGCACACCTTAAGCCCTTGTTCAGCCCTGCTTTCTGCTCCTCAGACTGGTCCCTCTTCCGGATGTTCTCCCGAACTCTCACAGAGGCCTGCCCACTAGCATCGGAAAGCCGTGTTTATGTGGACATCACAAGCAACAGCCAGGTACCAAGGTGTCCAGCCACGTGTCCGCCTTCCCATCAGTCTGCCCCTCTCCTTGCTTCTAAGCCCTGCCCCTGTGTTGCCAGGACAATGAAACACTAGAGGTGAACCCTCCCCCCACCACCACATACCAAGATGTCATCTTGGGGACCCAGAAGACCTATGCTGTCTATGACTTGTTTGACACAGCCATGGTCAATAACTCTCACAACCTCAACCTCCAGCTGAAGTGGAAGAGACCCCCAGATAATGGTGAGTGGGGGCGGGGGGAGTACAACAGATGCAATCTTGTGTCTTTGGTATAAGATGTAGGGTTTAGGTCTACTCTCACCTCTTCCAGGCTCTGTGAGTGGACAATTCCTAACTCCACTGAGCCTTAGTGTCTAGGGAAAGCTGTACCTAGTGGATTGGATGAGCTAATGTAAAACAGTTAATTCATGAACTCATTTGAGTTTGTATTCCACTTGAGGCATAGAGTGGTACATAAGACAGAGAACACTGCATTCAAGAAACGTGATATCCTATAATAAAGAGAGGTGTCAGTTAACCATAGTTGTGTTCTGTGTTGCCAAGGGGAAGGGAAGGATATCCTGAGTACCTGTTTTGAGTGGGAGGGGGCACATAAGTGTGGGATTGACTTTTTTTTTTTTTTGAGGCAGGGTCTCCCTGTAGCCCCAACTGTCCTGGAACTTACTATGTAGACCAGGCTGGCCTTGAACTCAGAGAAATCTGCCTGCCTCTGCCTCCCAAGTGCTTGGATTTAAAGGCATGCGCCACCACACCTGGCTTGGGATGACTTTTATAAGTGGACATGGTCTGAACTAATGGCTTCTAATTAACCCCAGCAAAACCATGTGTTCTTGTGTCTTATGACCTGGGCACTTGATCTCATTTCCTGGGCAACCTCATTTTGTTACTCCACCCAAAAAGATAATGAATAAACGAATGAGTGAATGAATCTGGATATGCTTGATAATGAGCACATCAAAACTCTGAAAGGTGGCACACCCACCTCCATTGCATACAGTGGAGATCAGAAAGATGGTGACCTTGGGTGAATGAGATAGTCTAGAACTAGGAATGAAAGCCCAGATGGTCTGTTAAGATTAGGAATAGCAAACCATTTGAATAAATTTATGGGTGGGCTCAGATTCTAGGACAGTTTCAGGGACAGAGTTCTAGCAAGACAGTGTCATCAGCACTGTTCCAGGAGACAGATGGTTCTAGGAGATCTCTAAAGGAACAAGTGTCCTCCTAGTTCCGGCCCACTCTGGAAAACTAAATTTAAAAGTAGGGCTGTTTGTTCAGTTTGTCATAATGGTGCAGTAATGTGCACATAAGCACCTAGTAGTGGTATCCTCTTATCCCTGTAGTCAAGGGAAGATGGATGATTCTAAGCCCAGGTTTCCCAGTTCTGACAGTAGAACCTTTCCCCATTCACACCCTGATTTGGGGCTCTGAACATCACTCAGGGAGCTGGGTGGGGAGTGGCTGGCTCACCTTTAGGATCAACTAAAGATTTATTTATTTATTATTTATTTATTTATTTATTTATTTATTTATTTAT